TTTTATTAATTTCCATTGGCAGCTGTGTAGCTGTAGTAACCTTTGAAAATTTCATCCCAGAGTATTTGGTTTTGTGATTGCTGAAGTCCCAGTGTGCACAACGAAGATATGAGTCATTCCATAGTGATGCTTGACAGTTCCACTGTCTGATGGCCTCGAGCCATGGGTTTGCACTAATGACGGTCTGTGAAGGTAAATAGCTCCCCCCCCCGCCCCCGCTACCCCTGCTTAAAGGATGGTTTGTTCCTTCTAAAGCATGAGATGATATTTGGAGAGACTCAGCTGACATAAATGAGTTCCTCCAGTTTTGTCTGTTTTGTCCAGTTGTGTTGGAGTGGGGAAAGTGACTGCTTATTCTAATCCAGACCTGCCTGTTCTCAGAAATAAAGTGTAACCAATTTGGGTATGAGAACAGATATTCTGTGTGTGGTGAAATAATGTAGCTGGTTTACACCCATACCTAATAAAACACATGAATTTGAACATATGCCTTCATCTACTGAACGGCGTAACTCCCTACTTTAGAGTTTAAAATTCTGAGTAGCAGGTTCTGTCCTCCCATTTTTGTAGGTGTTGAAAAGCTTTGGGTAGTTTATAGAGAAGAAGGAAGACTTGAGAAAATGAAATAAACCAGAGTGGTCTTAAGATCATTCAGAAACTCTTTTCTCTGTCCCCTCAGAACAGGAGAACACTCAATGAATTTAACATTACAGACAAATTTCAGAACTGGTAAAAGGGAATGGCTCTTGTATATGACCTGGAGAGTATGCCTGTGAAACTCATTGCTGCAGAAGGCTATTAGGGCTAAGAATATAGCAGACTTTAAAAAGAAATTGGATGCTAGCAGGGTTATTACTGATATCCAGAATTATAATAATTAATGGTATCAAAGTTTGAAAGATATACTGCATTTCCAGCTTTGGGGCACAGGGTAATCTCTGTCTGACAGATAGCAAGATGAGACTCGTGGAAAGATGATGTCATGTCTACCTTGAATGGCTCTTATGCTACAGTCTAAACTTACTATTCTGGCAGTATACAAAAGTGTTTGAACCTGTTGTCTAATTGCTTGTATCAATTAGTGTATACAAAGTCCTTTAAAATGTACATCTGTATCAACAGAAGTGATAGTCATCTAAAACACTGTAACCAAATTGAGTCAGGAGTAAATGCAGCATGGTTGGATATCTTTGTAGTTGTGTAGGTGTCAAGATGCTACTGACTCCTGTAAATGGTCTCGCTACACTGAGCATACATATTGAGAACATAAGTCTGTTAGGGTGCATGGTGGTTTTTTAAATACAGTTATTTTTAGTACAGATTTTGCTGCTTAGTTTTATTGGTAAATCCAGTGTTTCACATTTTCTAAAGACCGGGTCTCAGGCTACTGTCTGCTTTTTCCAAACAGAGCCACTTCAACTAGGGTATATTCTGCTGTGGAGCAGTCTGGGTGCCACTGGAAGTAGAAGCCAAAATGACCTTGTGGTTAAAGTTCACTAACTCAGGATACCCAACCAGAAAAATTAAATCCCAAGGCAATTCATGTATATGTTTCTCGCCCACCTCTTATGACTTGGAAAGGGAGTAAAAGAAGACACACACAATAATATCATTTATCTCCTATTCTATTCTATTCTATTCTATTCTATTCTGTTCTGTTCTGTTCTGTTCTGTTCTGTTCTGTTCTGTTCTGTTCGTTCCGTTCCGTTCCGTTCCGTTCCGTTCCGTTCCGTTCCGTTCCGTTCCGTTCCGTTCCGTTCCATTCCATTCCATTCCATTCTCACTTTTTTTCTTCACTGTTTTCTGCTAGATCTTGCAGCTGATTTTTAGTGTAACTTTAGGAATCTACAGAATAATGGCTATTATTTTATAACCTCTGGCAGGATAAAAGCATGATGTCTCTGTTTCCCTCAGAGATACAACATCAGCCTGACATGTGCAGAGTTTTGCAAATAAACAGCACTAGATCTAATTGTGTGTGGGAATCAGAACCAGTACCAGACAAATGAAACTTGAGTTGCCTGTCCTGTAAATAAACACACTTCAGGAAGAACTGGTCTTACAACTTAACAGCTATTAAAGGAGGGCTCTAAGGGACCAAAGTTGTTCTTATTTTTGCTTACATGAGAGTTTTAATGTGAAATGATGTGTTAGTAGGAACTGTACAGGCTTGCACAGTGAAATTCTAATCTGTCATACAGACCTTGTCCCAAATGCTGGGACCAGGAAGAAGTGGAGGGCTTTAATCTCTTTGCATATTCAGCTCTGGCAAGAGTAGTTGGAATGGTTTTCTGAGGTGGTGTGGAAGTGTAACTTTGTAAAGTAAATGATCTCATTACTTCTCCCTAGCCAGCATAATTAATATCCAAATGTTCCCTAAGATTAATTTAATTTCCTGCTCATCTATTGACAGACACTGCTGAGATTTGAATTCACATCAGGCAAGAGCAGATGGATACCTTCACTAACAGATTACTGCATCAAGGTGTACAAACTGTCCAGCTCTGTCTCAGTAAACTTCAACATATGATCTATAAGTGAACATAGTAGAAGAAATCCATGATGCCTATAAGCAGTACTTAAAGCACTGGGAGAATTGCCTAAGCAGTTATTGTATACTTGTGCTGATCTTCAAATCTTACTAGGCAGGAAAGCATTGCCTGGAAAATTATTTGTCTTCTCTTTATATTACTCCATCTCATTTAATTCTTATTGAACTAATTAAACATAAAGGGAGATTTCAAATACATATAGCTTCTGTTGAAGTTCTAGAAAACATTAATCTGTCCACATCGATTTGATGGTTAATTATTTGTATGGGATGTTTTACATAAGCAAAAGAGTCTCTGTTAAACTTGTATACCTGCAAGTCCATGATGAAACTAACGTACTCTTAACTAAAAGCAAAACAACTAAAAAAAAGAAGAACCATTGGTTCAGAAAAAGAAAAGTCACTGCAAGATTATACATATATATCCAGCACAGTAGATAAGCTTGATTATTTGAGGTGATAAATTGCAAGTAAAACTTGCCTGGAGCAGTTGATGAGAAGTGCCTCATAAAGGAGGCCAAGGCTTTTTGCAGAGTGTAGCAGCTCCAAATAATGGTACAGTATCTTTTAAGAAAGATATGCTATTTCTAGCAATAGAAAGGATAAAGGCTAATAACTCCATGCAACACACCATCTCTCTTGTCCTGAGTTACCACCATAACAGATGGAGCCCAAGGTCATGGACTACATGAACTCATTTTTGTGGACATTTGTGGACATTTTGTGGACATTTGTGGACATTTTATGGACATTTTACAGGCGTAGTCCATAGATTGAGGGAATGATATCTGTGTATTCTATCTAAGGATGGGAAGGGAATGGTGGTTAATGGGAATGTATTGGATAGTGTGGGACCCGAGCATGACGTTATGGGAATAAGGGGTGGAGAATGTACTGGTTTTGGCTGGGATAGAGTTAATTTTCTTCATAGTAGCTAGTATGGAGCTGTGTTTGGATTTGTGCTGAAAACAGTGTTGATAACACAGGGGTGTTTTGTTACTGCTGAGCAGTGCTTGCACAGAGTCAAGGCCTGTTCTGCTTCTCACACCACCCCACCAGTGAGTAGGCTGGGGGTGCACAAGAAGCTGGGAGGGGACACAGCCAGGACAGCTGACCCCAACTGACCCAAGGGATATCCCAGACCATATGATGTCATGCTCAGCATATAAAGCTGTGGGAAGAAGGAGGAAGTGGCGGGACATTTGGAGTGATGGTGTTTGTCTTCTTAAGTAACCATTATGTGTGATGGAGCCCTGATTTCCTGGAGATGGCTGAACACCTGCCTGCCAATGGGAAGTGGTGAATGAATTCCTTGTTTTGTTTTGCTTTAGTTAGTAAACTGTCTTTGTCTCAACCCATGAGTTTTCTCACTTTTACCCTTTCAGTTTTCTCCTCCATCCCACTGGAGGGAGTGAGCAAGTGGCTGTGTGGTGCTTAGTTGCTGGCTGAGGTTAAGACATGACACTAGCATGTTGTGTAACTGTTTGCTGTGTAAATAAACGTAAAACGTGAGGTCCTCTGTGCCTGAAGTGTATTGATACCACTGGCATTTTTGAAGAGGGTTAGTCTATAATTCCTCATGTTTCTGTAAACATTCAGCATAAATGTACTCTTCGGGAAGCTCCCAATGCTTTGGGTGCTGAAAAATGAGATACAGAGGAATTTATAGCTCTGTGAGATAGAGGGGGAGTCCTGATTCTTGCAGTCTGGGCTTATTTCCTCGTGAGTGGTACCATCTCACTGCTTTTCTGCTTTGCTGAGGGCAAGAGCGAAGTCTGCTGAGGTGCCTTGAATAGCAGATCTGTGCAGTTGCTAACCCTCTCTTCTGTTCGTTCTCTCCTGGTTTGATCTGTTCAGTGCTCTGTTTCCATCACTTTGTACTTAAGATCTAGGTTTTGCCTTGCTTTCTGTGAGATGTCTCTCTGCTTGAGAGGAAGGGCTGCAATCTTGTGTGAGACCGGGAGCTAACAGGATTTTCTTGTTAGTGTGGAGAACAGTGGGAATACCACAGTGTCAGTTTGTGGAAAATAGAGGTTGCTTTGCAACTGTTATAAAGAGTCAGATTAAATTTCCTATTTTAAAGAGTAAGGGAAGGGTTTTTTTTTCATTTTGAAGTTATGTACTAAAGTTTGGATAACTTTTGTTTGCTCACTGAAATATTTCCCTATATATTTAGATGAATATATTTCCACATGCAGTAATATTTTCTTAGGATGTGAAGCAGAGGAATACTCAGGAAAATGTTACGTAGCAGCCTAAAAATTGTAGTTATACATTTCCAAAGATGCTGTTTCTATTCCCTGCCTGAATAGTAACTTACCACAGTGAATATCTGATTTACCAATCTTTTTGCTTGCATTTATACAGCTTGCTTAGAATTGAGCAGTGTCTATTTCTGTCAAATACAAAGGCATGTGGTTTTTTTTTGTTGTTGTTGTTTCTATTGTAGACTTGCCCTCAGCAAACTTAAGCAATTACAACATCACTGTGGTGGAAGGAAAGAGCATCACACTGTACTGTGATACTACTGGCAGGCCACCCCCTAATGTGTCCTGGGTGCTCACTAATCTTGTTTCAAACCATGAGGTAAGTTTCATATTCAAATACATGACAAGTCAGAGACAGGAGATACATCCTGAAGGATGGAATGAAGGTTCATGTCCATCTTTAGATAACTTTTTATTAAAAAGCTTAACTAAAAAATTAATGCTGGGGTACATTTATTTTCCAGTTATTTTAAATTCAGGGTGACTGCCACAGTGCTTTTGGAGAATGGCAGGCATTCACTCCTTGAGATGCTGATTTGTACTCTTGTTTTTGGATGTTCACCTGTAAATAAGATTACTGTAAAGTTTTGGAAATAATGTGGTGAATCAAGATACTGAAACATGAGGGCTTTCTTATTATCACTGATACCTGCATTCAGAGAATGTCTAATCTACCCTAACTATGAAAAACACTCTGTGTCTCTGATTTTATTGTATTTTCATTCCAAAAGCTTGGTGTGTTGGAATTTGGTTGTAAATATTTTGTGACTTTTTAAATTTTTTCTTCAACAAGGAAGCCTTGGAAATAGAAGTGAAGGTTTTGCTGAAAAGAATGGCTTTTTAAAAATGAAGTATGAAGTTGTTACCTCAATAAAATCATCTAGGCAGAGGAATTTTGTTTTCTGAGATCTTTGTATTCTCTGTCTCTACTTTTGGTTGTGTGCACACTAGAGATAGAATGATTTAAGTTCTTTCTGATGGAAGTGTTGATAAGGAGAAGGCATATAAGCAGATCTTCAGCATGCATCTGCCGACCTCTTAAATTGTCTCTATTTACACAGCAGACAAGACCCTGTGTTACTTACAATTTTATGGCACTGGGTTGTCTATATTCATGATGGTGCAGACTGCCTTAAGTGCCCTGGTCTGTACAAAGTATGGGATGTGTACTTCCAAAACTTGCAGCAGTGTGGAAGAGGCAGGACCTCTGGGGTCTTACAATCTTTGTACTTTCTTCCTTCAGATCATTATGTTTAGCCTGTATCGAATTTGACTTGCTTGTCTTTCAGCTCTCATTAGTAAGACCTCTGCAGAAATCTATTTTTATTTTTAAAATTTCCCTAATCTGTAAATTTAACCAAAGGCTTCAGTCATCATCGAAAACAAGAAATTAAAACCATTGGGGGAACCTATGCCAAGTTGTACTCTTTCTGTTTTTTTTTAAATTGAGTTATGAGCCAAAACAAATGTGGGATGCTGTTCAAAAAGTGAGATCACCTCGTAATTTAACCCTCCTATCTTTGAAATGCCATGGTCAGTTTGTTTAAAGGTTTCCAGAAATATTCTGTTTTGGCATAACTTCATCTGGATATTTCAGAGAGAGATTTCAGAGGGACTCATAATGTGGGCTAGCTACAGCCTTAGCTGTGGAACACAGTAATCTTTTCAGTAGCAGAAGGAGAGCCTTTTAAACCTCATTTGCCATTCACAGCTGTCCTTCCCTTTTCTGTGAGTGTTGTCTTTGGTTTCCTTTCTCTTACTTCCATATCTGGGTGTCTGCCTCCCTTTTCTTCACCTCCTATGCTGCTTTTCCCTGTTTTCTCTCTTTCATGTTTTACAAAGAGAGATGTTAACATAGATTAAAACTAAACTCTAGTCCTGCAAAGCTAACAATGATCTCAGTTTGTATGATGTATAATCTGATTGATGTTGGTTAGATTTTTCTTGTTCTAGATTTCAGCCCTGAGCCTGTAATTGAGCCCATCTGCTTTCAGTCTCACCTCTGAGAGTTCACATTCAGGTTGGAAAAGCCCTTGGGATCATCAAGTCCAACTATCAGCCCTACTCTACAAAAGTCTTCCCTACACCCTATCCCCCAACATCTCATCTACATGACCCTTTAACACATCCAGGGATGGTGACTCCACCACCTCCCTGGGCAGCCTATTCCACTGTCCGAACACTCTTCCTGTGAAAAATTTTTTCCTAATGTCCAGTCTGAACCTCCCCTGTTGCAGTTTAAAGCCATTCCCTCTTGTTCTGTCACTAATCACCTGTGAGAAGAGACCAGCACCAACCTCTCTACAATGTCCTTTCAGGTAGCTGTAGAGAGTGATGAGGTGTCCCCTCAGCCTTCTCTTCCTCATGTTAAACAGTCCCAGCTCCTTCTATCACTCTTCATAGGATTTATTCTCCAGGCCCTTCACCAGCTTCGTTGCCCTCCTCTGCACTCGCTTCAGCACCTCAATATCTCTCTCGTATTGAGGTGCCCAAAACTGGTCACAATACTCCAGGTGTGGCCTTACCAGTGCAGAGCACCGGGGGACTGTCACCTCCCTACTTCTGCTGGTCACACTGTTTCTAATACAAGCCAGGATGCCATTGGCTTTCTTGGCCACCCGGGCACACTGCCGGCTCATGTTCAGCTGCTTGTCAATGAGAACCCCCAGATCCTTCTCTCCCAGACAGCTCCAGCCACACCTCCCCAAGCCTGTAGTCATGCAGGGGGTTGTTGTGGCCCAAGTGCAGGACCTGGCACTTGGCCTTGTTGAAGCTCATCCCATTAACGTTGGCCCACAGATCCAATCTATCCAAGTCTCTTTGTAGAGCCTCACTATCCTCATGCAGATCGACACTCCTGCTTAATTTGGTGTCATCTGCAAACTTACTGATGACACACTCCGTGTCCTTAGCAAGATCATCAATAAAGATGTTGAACAGAAATGGTCCCACCACCAAGCCCTGAGGAACACCACTTGTGACTGGCCGCCAGCTGGATTTAACTCCACTGACCACCACTCTTTGGGACCGTCCATCCATCCAGTGCTTGACCCAGCAGTTGTACAAAGAGAAATGTGTAATGTGGTGTTTGCTTTACCATTCACCTCCCCTAGTGTCTCACTGAAATCAAAGGGACCTTTAACTTCAGTGGAGTTGAGGCATCATTGCGAGTTTCAAAATTCTGGTTGCACAGGACCATATGGAGGAGTGTTCCCACATGTCCCCATTGATTGCCACTGATAGTCACTGTGGTTGTACAGATGCAGTGGGTTACTTGTTTGTGTTCTATGCAGCACTGAAGTGAATGCGTACAGTAAGAAAAGTACCTCAAAAGTAGTTTTTAAAAAATTATCCAGATTTTGTTCTGAATGTGTATTTATTCCTTTCCTATTTAAGAAAATAGTCTTGCATTTTATGAAAATTCAGGTATGGAAATAGTAATTGCTTGGAGATCATATGAAGGGCTTGATTTAAGAAAATTAGGGTCTTTGCTGGCTTTTTTTTTTTTTTTTTGGTATTCAGTCCTATTTTCTTTATTCAGTGTTGCGTAGCTGTATATTCATATGGCATTTAAGGCTGTAAATGGTCACCGAACTTTCTAAGAATCATAAGAATCAAGATTTCTAAGAATCATAATTCTTACCTTAATTAGCCTGTGCTTAAACACATAAAGCAGTATTCTGGCAATAGCCTAGGTAGTAAAAGGTATCTAATTTCTTGTGGAAATGAGCAGAGTCAGCTTTCAAGAGAAATTTGGCTAAGGAGGAGGCAGAAGACACACTGTTGTCAAAGTACAGTAATGCTCAGAAGGCAGCAGTGAAAGAGATGTCAAGTTTAATGTAAAGGAAAAAGACGAAAGAGTAAAGCAAGTATTGGACAGAACATAGAAGGAAAGAAAAAGTTGAAGGAGGGCAGAGATACACTATAGAAATCAGTAATAAAGTGGAAAAGAGGGATGAACAACGGTATGGGTAGAGAAAAAAGCATTTGTGTAGAGGGGAAGAAGTTTTTAATAAAAAGGCAGAAAGTGACAGGACAGAGAAATGGTTGAGTACAGTGTTTGTAGCGGGACTTTTGGAGCTTTGAATCCACTACCACTGACAGCTACAATTGGTTCTGTAGGTGTTTTATGTTGTTTGGATAAGACACTAAAGTAAGGCTTTGATTAATTGTGGACTGATACAGCTAAAAGGAAGGTAAAATGTAAAATGCCACTTAACTCTGGTCAGTGATTTCCTGCCTCTCCCTTGTTCTTTATGCTGCAGTTGACACATACATGTTTTTCTAATCAATTGTAGAGTGACACAAGTAAGAACCCTGCCTCTCTAACCATAAAGAACGTTTCATCCATGGACAGTGGACTGTGGATTTCCTGTGTAGCAGAGAACATTGTGGGAGAGGACCAAGCCTCTGCTGAGCTCACGGTATTCTGTACGTACACAGGCCTCCATACAGCTCCCGCGGCCGAACTGCATTGGCAGCAACTGTTTTGGGGATAAATATTTTTTGGGCCTGCAGGTTGTTGAAACAAAGCCCTTAAGTCATGCAGGTAATGGTGGAAGTAGTCCAACCAGCAGTTATATTTATCTTTTTCAGCCCTGCATTCTGCAATAAGTGTATTTCTGAATGCTTTATCTTCCCGTTAGAACAATCTATAAGTAAATGTATGAAACTCAAAACACTCAATGGCACCATCGTTGTGGGAAGATTTGTAATGGTGTGCATGTACACACAGACTGTTTTAGGAATTAAGAAGTGCAAATGCATCAAAAGGCTTGTAGAATTAATTATAAGAGACTACAAATGTTTACGTTCTTATTATCTAAAGCAACAACTGCTTTATTCAAAAGTAACACGCTTGCAACATTTGTATTGCCAGATGTAAATTTATTTGTTGTAGCTTTTAATAATATACTTATTTGCCAGGACCAAGGAAGGGGAGGAAGGGACAAACGGTGTAGAGGCACTGGCTTCTTATATCTAAGCTCCAGCCTGAATTCATTTTATGCGAGCTAGACAGGATGTTTTCACAAGTTGGAACCCTCTGTTTAATTGAAGATGGGAATGGAACGCTTCGTAGATGGCAAACTTTGTTTATCGTGCTCATGACAGAGTAAACCAGAAAGATCACTGTAGATGTAGGTTTGTAGGTTGAAATTTGATATGTAATAGATATGGGAAAGAACATAAACCAGAATTGAACAATGTAAATGAGATTCTGAGCTTGGCACTGTTATGAATGATAAAAGGGCATATAACGAGATGAAATTGGATGCAGTTAAGAATAAGTATCAAGGAAAATTTCCAGATAGATAAATAATGGGCGAGGTGTTGGAACAATCTCCTGAGGGAAACAGAACAAGTTTGTAAACTGGAGGCATCTAGCAGGTTTGAACAAAGAATGAGAAAATATAGAGTAGAAAATTGTCTTTCCCTGACAGAAGAATCCAGGGAATTAAGTCATCTGTTATGTCTTTAATTCTATAAAGAAAATAATCTGAAAGTTTGGTTTTCTAGCTGAACATATTTCCAGTACTACTTGGTTTCAACCAGCTTTTAAATGTTTTCACTACTGTTGTGTTCTTTCAGTACTCCTTTGCACCCTTTTTTCAGCAGAGTAAAGCTAAAATGAGTCTCTTCCCCCTTCTCAGTGATCCAGTAACTGAACTTCCCACACCTTAAAGGTGATGTGATTTCACAGGTGTTCAATCTTTGTCTGAAACTAGTTTGTTTTGTTTCTTGCTAAAAAATGGCTTCATTTCAGTTGTGAGCATAGTACCCTAGGCAGAGCAGGTTGGTTCCTGTGGGGGTATTCTCCAAATAGGTATCATTCCTACTGATAAATGAAAATGAATGAAAAATACTTTCCTGATAACTTTGCGGGAAGGGAGGAAAGGGAGGAAAAATATGTTCAGAATATTCTGATGTTCTTCACTCTTTTTTTCAATATAGTTGCACCAAATATCACATTTATTGAATCTCCAACCCCGGACCACCACTGGTGTATTCCATTCACTGTGAAAGGGAACCCTAAGCCCACATTGCAGTGGTTCTATGAAGGGGCTATACTGAATGAGTCTGAATACATCTGTACTAAAATACATGTTATCAATCAAAGTGAATACCATGGCTGCCTTCAGCTGGACAATCCTACCCACCTGAATAATGGTGCTTATACCTTACTGGCAAAGAATGAGTACGGAGAGGATGAAAAACGGGTTGATGCTCATTTCATGTCAGTGCCTGGAGATGGTGAGTACAGGTGGTTTTTTTTTGTATGTTAACAACTGCAAATTGATGAGGCTGTGGAGGCAGTGCTCCTAGCCAGTTTAACTATTTTGGAGGAAACTTTTTATATACTTTTTTTTTTCCTTTCTGAATGAATGTCTTCAAGATTAGTTGTAAAGTAGTGTTGTTTATTGCTTCTCAAGGGAGGCCCTGCTAGTGCTCTGTAAATCTTCCCTTTGAGTAACCATACTCGGTGCCAGCTAAGGCTAATAAAAGGATGGTGTTTCTGAGGTGTTTTCTCAAGCCTCTGTTCTGATCTTGGAAAGCACTGAGTGCCAATTCACCTCTGTAAGTTTTCTGCACTGCATATGAATGCACCTAGGCAGTGTATCCAACACGGGCATCTAGTGCCTTGTTGAAAAAATCAGTAGTGCAGTCTGGTGAGTTGATGATGATATGTTGTTTAGAAACGACACCAGAGGGAGCTGGAGGGAAAACAAGTAACCCAGAGGTAGGATGGACGAGATCTCCGGTCTTCACAGGCATTTTGATATCCAGTTCCCATTCGTTTTGGTGGAGATTGGGCACCTACATGCCTAGGAATAACCATGATCAAGATGGTTGCTCTGAAATATATGTATCTTCAGTTGCTCTAAAGGCTCCACCTCAGCCTTCCTAAATGCTGTATGAGCAGGCACAAGGTGATTGATTTCACTGAACTGCACGGACTGCTGTAAGCAGTTGATACTCACTGTGGTTTGATCTTTTCCCATGTCTTCAAAACATATGCGAAGTGACTGTAGGAGTCAGAAGGCGTCATGTAAACATATTGCTGATGTGGAAAAAACTGAGCGGACCTTGCACAACTGGAGTGAAAATAAAGACATGTTTTTGCGCAAATAATTGCACAGTCATATCTGAAAATATGAGCATGTGCGTACCTTTGGCTTTTTAGCCATGGGATATAAATAGGCTTCTTTTTTGAAACAGAAATGTGCAATGCAACTGTTATGTGGCAGAAAAAAAGTGAATATTGAAATTCTCTCTTCTGCATTTCAGGCTACAGACAGTAAAAATATGGTCTGTGTTTTTTCCGTGCTTTTTCTTCTGTAGAGAGAGAGATGGCAGGTCTTTTGCTTTCCTACCCTTTGAAGAAGGTGAAGAGCTGATACAACCAGGCTTTATTTACTCCTGCTGTCCTTAGTGCTTCTCTCCTCTTTTTTCTCTGGAGTTCATTCTTAAATAGACTCATTACAGAAACAAGCCGTGGTTTCAGCTACTGACATCCTCTAATACTGCATTGTAACAGTTCAGTAAAACAGTTCACCTCATAGATGTTCTGTGTACAATGGAAGTTATCTTACACCCTGATTATTTAATCCAAAACTGGCTAAATTTTCTTAACAGAGTAACAGTTCCTCTAATACATTGGGGTGAGTTAACATTTTTTGTCTTTCATCCAAATCCCTTTTACTATTCTGTTTTTCCTTTATGCTTCTCCCCTATACACTGAAAATTTCCCAGTTGTGGTCTTTTAAAGCAGTAAATAGAACTGTAGGTGTCTTCCAAATTAGAAAGACAGCATTATTTATTTGTTCCATCCTCTTTATGCTTGTACCTCTCCCAAGATAATCTGCGCTGTGTTTTTTAAGCATTTCCCAAGATCTGTGGTGGATTAAGCTTCACAAAAAAGAGTATAGAGGAAACTGGACTGTGTATAGACAGGATGTATCCGCATTACAAATCAGCTCATGCATAGTGGATGCAACCAAACCAGTCTTAAAACTTAACAACAGGGCAAACTATTTATCTGCTTAGCCTCCTCAATACTGTTGTTATTTTTTTCCTCTAAGAATCACAGCATTGAGCTTTAGAAAACGTCATAACACTATTGTCTTCTCCACTGAAGCTGGCATAAAAGCAAATGTTAAAAGACTAGAATCCTCTGTGCACTGTATTACAATTTTTGTTTTAAACTATTACTATTTAAAGCACTGTCAGGCCTTTTCAAACCCTTAAAAGGCTTTTTCAGTGCTGTCGTTACTGTGTAGTTTCTTCTTTTGGCCCACATATTGTAAAATGAAGCATAAAGATTAAGGCCCACGCCCTGGAATTATGTTCATTTCAGTGCCTTCATGACTGAATTACATACCAGCCCCAATGTTTCATGGGGTGGGGTATACTCACTGAGCTTTAAATTGGTTCTCTGGTTATTGCATCACTTATGGGCAAATGCTCTGAAGGTAAAAACAAAAGAAAATTGAACACACCCCCCGCCCCTCACCTATAATCTATATGTCTATCTGAATTATATACAACTAAGTCTGATGCATGTTCTACCATCAGCAATGGAATACTCCACTTCCAAAGTTGTATCAGACATGATGAAGACATGATTTGTACGAAGATGCTCTCAACTTCCAGCATGCTACTTGCAGAACATTTTTCACTGGTCTGAGGATGAAGGAGACAAAAGCACATAGTACAGTGGGATGTGGATTGAGTTAATGGCAACACAGTTAATGTTGTAAATTAAGGCTTTGTTTTAATATTAAGACTTTGTTTTAAATATGAAGACTTGGAAGGATAAATTTCCTATTCTATTAGCTAGATTTTTACCAAGCTTTAATCTGCTAAAGTTCTTGGATTCCTATGAAGCCATTCTTGTTGATGATGACTTTATTTGAGACTAAACTGCAGCAAACAGTAAGGAAGAAATGTTCATGTTTATTCTGGAGGCTCTTCTCATAGTTGATCCAAAACAGCTAATGAATGCTGGAGAGATTTTTACCAATAATAAGTATTTTTAATTAAGCATATTCATCTACCATCTTTATTCTGAAATTCAGCTGAAGGAATCCAAGTCACGTAATATCTTGTCAAAGTAAAACAGTATGTTAAATATGCCTTAAAAGTAGCATCTTTCTTGTGTAGCATAAGAACATGGGGCTGTTTTGCAGAAGTATGTTTTTAGATTGAGTCTTTTGCTGATGCTTTATTTTGAAAATGTCAACTTTATAAAAAAAGATTGAAGCAAACCAAGTGTAGTTGATGTAGTTTATAAAGATGAGTGCATAAGTCTCTTAATAGTTTATTTACACAACAACCTGATCTAACAGGGACCAAAACAGCAATGCTGTTCTGTGCTTACCTTCAAAATAATTGTATGTAAATGTGAAAATTACTGTGATGAAGTTTAATGTTAAAATAGCTTCAGCCGATGTTTTGATTACTGAGTAGATATGTTTTTCTGTAGGGTATGTTAAATAGAAATTTTTATTTCATCCAGCATCTTGATTTTTTGCAACGTGAGGTATTTAGTTATACAGAGAATGAATAGAGTTGATAACTTCCTAGTTTATATCCCTGGCAGGAGTTGGGGATTAAACTAATCTGATTACTTTATTCCAGTTCCAGTAAACAGTAACAAAATGTTGCCATTGAACTCAGGAATAAAGACCTGGGAATTTTTTTTGTTGTTTTTTTATCCCTTCAGATTATAGAAGGTAAATGCTGTCTTTCAGTAGATGGATGTTTTATACTGGACAAACTGAATCCACAAACTTTTATGGAATGAAAACCATGGTCAGAAGTTGCTTGAGGACAGATAGTACAAGCTTTCTTCACTTGTTATTTATTTCTGCAAATTGACATGACAGTTCTCATGGGGTCTATTAACCTATATCTCTGGATATTAGTATATCTTCAGATGCATTAAAAAATAAACCTAACTATCTGCTGCCATTCTGAAGATCGGTTGCAACTCTCTTTAGTATTTTCGGCACAGATTATCATGCTGTTGTCATAAACAGAAACAATGGTTCTGGTCATACTTCACAGTGGCTTGACGCCAGTGTAATGCCACTGCTATGGATTTACTCTGTAGTACTATAAATAGAATTATGCTTTTTGAAGTTTGATTTATCTTTAGTTTTTAACTATCTGTTAATTTTATTTCTAAACCAACAAAAAGAATAAAAATATGGAAGAGATGATTAGGAGCCTACTACATAAGCTATGCTATAAATACATTATAGACCAGAATGAATGGGTATGTTGAAATACAACACAAGTATCTTTCAGAGCGTGAACAGTCTAATAGTACGCTAATTTCAGTGGGTGTACTGTGCATTATACTCACATATGTGCTCAGCATTACATATGTGCAGTAATTAGAAAAAGCTGAAAACTGGAACTCGTAAAACTTAGAAAAGTGTAGACTAGACGGGTATTCATTTGCTTGTGTAAAGGCTGGCTTCTGAGACATCTGACTCTTTTGGTAAGAGGTCTGTCTGTGTATCAGCTGTGCAGCTGTCATCTTGGAAGCATCCTTTTACAGAGTGAATGAAATAGTGCTGCTTAGGTCATTGCTACCTCTCACCCTTAATTTGTCAGGCCACAGCTAAACTGGTTTGCTCTCACAGTAATTTAATATCAAAATTTTTTGATGAGGTAAAGTTCAGTGATTGTTAAAATGCGCACTGAAGTCTGCTTCCACCTATAGTCCAGGAGAATTTTACCACTGATTTTTCAAAAGCAATAGTTATTGTTGCATTTATTCCAGGTGTGCATTAACTGTGAAGAGCAGAGTTTTGCCCAGTTGGGAAATAAGTCTGCCGTTGCCAGAGCTCCTGTTTGTTAGCTGTTTCATATGAAGTGAAATGCTAACCTTTGAGATAGCTCTAAAATGGTTGTAAATGTAATCTTGTAAACAGGTACTGCAATATGTTGATGTTGCTTTGCATTTGTGTAGGTACTGATCATTTTTGTTGCAAATAACATGTTAACTCTTAAAAGAAATCCTAAAGAAACTCACTCTTCCAGCATTTGCAATGTATCAATCTGTTTACAAACCTTTTTCTTTTTTTTTTTTTTTTTTTTTTTTTTTTTTTCTCTTCTCCATGTGCAGGTAGTGGCCCAATTGTGGATCCAGACGTTTATGGTATATATTTGTTTTCCTTTTTCTTTTCTTTTAATGATAGAAATGAAGGAACTGAAACCATTAAAAGATTGAATGTCAGGCTCAGTTAAACTGAAATGACACATATTAGAACACAGTTCTGAAAGGTACCTTGTATTTTTGGTTTTTCTCCTGCCTCATGTTATTTAAAATACACGATAAAATATGACATTGTACTTACTCTGCTGCTTTTGATTCACATTAGAAGAACTATAAATCCACTGCTACAAATGGTTGCAGTTGATCCTGTAGCATGACAGCTGTCTAATGTAGCTCACGGGCATGAGATTTCATGAACCTTTTGGAGTCATTTCTTGGAGGAGAGAGAGTTAGTGAATTCTCCTTATATAACTTAATTTATTTTTTCAGGGATGTTTCCATACTTGTTTTGCCTCCACAAATGTACCCCTAAATCCTACTTAAAAATGAGGTTGGCACAAGTAAGTTTTCCTGTAGGCAATTTATTTTGCTCTGTCCGCTCATTTGTACCTTCCCTTAATCTCTCTTGCATAAGCAGACCATCAGCTCAGTGATATCTGAGTGTGTGCCAGAAGATTTGATGACACAGTGTTCACATTAGTTTTTTAGTTAGGCGAAATGTTTTGGTCTACACCTAGTGAAAGCCAGCGTGCACTAGAATAGAAGCTGCAAAATGAAAAGCAGCTGGTTAGTTTTACATAATACTTCTGGTGAGTAGGAAAGTCCATTCTAACCAATGTACCCAAACACCCTTTAGCTTCCAGCAGCTCAATCTTTTGGAGTACTTTTTATTTGGATGAAATGGCCTATGACTCAAGTTTCCTTAAGCTGATTTAAATGTTATTGCTTTGATTCCATTCCATGTCATTAAACTTTAGCAAATGTGAAATTGAAGCATCAATTTGGCTTTAAGTGTTTAGAAATACTAAAGGATAGCCTCCCCTCCCTCCCTTTCTAAATGCTTTTTTTTTTGGGGGGGTGGGGGGTGGGTGTGGAGGTGGTGACAGTTTGCTCAGTTTCTTATACATTGTATTATATAAGCTGTATGCATGAAGATTTTTATTCTGAGATGTTTATCAAGGTCCTGATGCCTGTGTATGGCTTTAACCATGTGAATGCTGTGCTTTGATTGACTTGGGTAGGTTTCTGCTGAGATGTGCGCTTTGAGTTGCACCAGTGGATCACAGCCTGCAAGACCTAGTCCTGATGAAAGCAGCCTTCCTTTTTATTCCTGGCTTTTCTTCCACTGTTTGAAACTGCTGTCTTTGATCTTTGCTTCAGTGACTCAGTGCTTGCTTTGAGAAACACTTTGTAGTCCAGAGTGTTTCCCTAATTATTCCAAATTCACAAGTCCAGTTAGTGAGGTGAATAAATGAGGCCAGCTGGAAAGCCTAGGAACTGCTACACTTCTGTAGCATGCATGGCTGGCAGTGGGACCCTTGGGATGAGGTTCCCCTCCTCACAGACAGTGGTTTTCATTACTTTTTTTTCAGACCACCCTATGCTAATGTGTTTACCCACAATTTAGATTATGTTTGAAGAAAGATTTAAGGCGCTGCCCCACATCCTGCCCCTCCAGTCTTGCCTTTAAAATATGTTTTTCACAGCCCTGTGCTAATCATGTTGCAAATGTGCCTAGGGTAAAGGCAGTGGTAGAGGATTTGATCTTGCTGGGCACTAGGACTAACTCTATGTGGTCAGTCTGTTGGCTATGGGTAAAGTCAATGGGAGCTGCAAGGAGATGGAGGCAACGGAGAGCAGGGGACCCTGGCCTTTGATTACCCCTCTGTGCTGAGCAAAGCCCTTTGTAGCTGGGTTTGGTCTGTCCCTTGTGGATTGACCTTCTGTGAACTGTGCTCCATGTGAGGTGATTTCCAAACATTTTCTGTTAAGTGTTTTGAGCATGCAACAGAAAACAGAAGAACTGCTGAGGTCGCAGCAGGCTACATGATGTGTTTGCCAAGGGAGTCCTGGCTGCACAGGGCTCTGCCTGTCTCAGGTGTGGAGCTGTCGCTAGTGCCTCCAGCCAGCTCACCTCTGTGGCACCTCTCAGAAAAGGCAGAGAGGGGAAGATGTCTTGGCCCCATCTGTGAAGTAACTGAGAGAAATAAAGCAACTCATCGGAGACTGAGCAGGAAATCAAGTGCAAAGCCAGCTTCTTTGGCTCTGAGTTCACATCTTTGTGCCATGCTGCTTCTTCTAACACGGTTATGAACATGAGAGAGGCAACATGTCCCATATGAGCCACCCCGCCAGAGGACTGTGCAGAGTGACACACAGGTGCTGGTGTGACTGTGCTCTTGCCTGTATCCCAGCCGCCACGCAGCTTTTTTGTGAAGTGACTGCAAAATACTGTGCTGCCTCAGCTGCAATTTGCTGCAGTTGGTGCAGTCACAGGTGGCTGCGCAAGGTATGCAGCACTGGAGAACCTGGCCCTGAAGCGATACAAGTCCCACATAGCATGAGTCAAGAGGTGTGACCCTGTCTGTATCAGAGTGCTCAGTGTCTGTGTCAGGATTTCATAGTGAAATGAACAGGAATTTGTTTTAAGTCAGAATCACCTGGTTTTGGCTGGATAGCTGTTGCACATGTTTTCCTTGCCTGGCTCACCCATTTCATGAGTCTTTGAAGACCTGGCAGTAGTTCAAGTGCAAGCACTTCACAGTTACACAGTGGGGAATGGCAGTGCAGCACCACAGTACTGATGTGGCCTACTTTAGCTCTTAGCCTTTTTAATATAAAAGTGCATTAAAAGAATTTACAGACCAGACCTGTAACACTCTGCATAGTTCTCATTAGTCCTTCAGGGTGTGATTTACAGTAGCTTAGTACAGACATGAGCATAAACAAAACTGTAAATAGCATCAGCTTTTGCCCACCGCTATTTACAGGTAAAATTAAAGTAAAAAATTTCCCTCTTTAAAGTTCATATTACAGAACCAGAGCAGCAAAGACTCTAAATATTTGTTTTATATATTGGTCTTATAAAGCTACAATAGCTATAGGGTTAGTCAAAACTATCTTTGTGAAGATTTTCCCGACTAGTTGTAAAGGAAGCCGGGTCTTGGAGGCTGAGATACTTGTTACAAAATGGGCTCTGCCTGCACATGAATGAAGCAGAAGTTTTCTCCTTCGCTGTGGCAAAGCATGCATTCATGGTGGCGAACAGTCTGCATAGCACCTTCTCTGATAGTCCAGGCTGCTTATGCAGGTGAGCCATTCAGGCAGGGTTTGTGTTGTTTGTTTGCTGCTTGCTGCTGTTCTGACCTCACTGCATATGAAGCTATAGGCATAGGGATGCAGTGCTGAGTCAGAGAAATCAAATGGTAAAAGACCAGGAAATTAAATTTTGTTTCTCGTGAAAGCTCTCTATACCTAATATGTGTTTTGGCTTGAAAAATCCTGTCCTTTGACATGCATGGTGTAGAGCCAAAATAGTATATATGAGCTGGTTAGACAACCTGACTGTACTGATTGTAGCATTAGTGCTAGAAGCAGCTGTGTAGCTTCATATACCAGAAAATCTGCAGCCTGCTGAGTGCTTTGCGGAAGGCAGATGTGTTCATGCATGCATGAAGATCAAAAGCCCGGTGCAGCTTGTTGCTAGCATTGCCAGCTGAGCTCTCCAAACTGGCCTTGGGAACCAGAGAAGATAACTACCTAGGCACATGACCTCCCTGCCCTTGCTCGGCAGCAGGTCTGCAGTCAGAAGAGTTCCTGCCTCAGCAGTTAGTGAGAGCTATGCCTCTGCACTCCACTTTTTCAGATTCACAGTTATAATTTCATCTGTAGGCTTATGGCACTGATTTTAATCGAAATGTGGAAAGAAATATGCAGTTAATTGCAAATTTAAATTGCAGTGCTGGAGGTGATAATAGATACAGTTATTGACCTTGTTTGTTTCTTTCATCTGCACACATCACAGTCATAAAATTGAAATGTTATGTATATTTCCAGATGTAATCATAAAATATATGCATTTTAAAACTTTATTTTAATGTATGTTTCTCCAAGTTCTTATGTACACTATTTAAGTCTTTTTTATCTCATTTGAATAATTTTGACAGGAAATCATGGACTGTAAATGTCTGTGTCTCATTTTTAAATAATTATAAATAATTAAGCCATGTTCATTCTTTTGATGGAGTAGTTCTGGATTCACCCCTGCAGACCTGTCAGTGGAATTATTGTGATAAATTTCTTCGTACCATCTCAGGAACTTAATGGTTTAAAGGTTTACCTGTATGACAGTTTATGATGCTAAACTGTGGCCTCTGTGCACACAATATTTTCTTTTTCTAAACAAAGAAAAATAGCTATTTCACATTAGATAGTGATAATCTAAAAACCCATCTGCCAAGTTGTTCTCAGTTAAACAGAAGTCCCTAGGCTAATTTCTAAGACTGTCCTATATTTGGCTGTAGAAGTTCAGTGTAGAAGGCAGTCTTTCATTTTTAATGGGAAGTCAGAAGCACATAAAAACAGCTTTTTGGATGGAGTTCTTATTTAACTAGTTTTTCCAGTAGAGGCACACATCATGGTGTAGATCTCTTCTCAGGTTTGTCAGTCACAACACATTTGTTTGATTATCTGCCACAGGGATCCCTCCCCAAATATTCCAGCTACCTTAGTAATTACTTACTGTTTCCAAAGAGCTCAGAATCCTGAGAGTTGTTAGTGGCCTCAACATCCTACAGAGCAGAAATAATAAAGACAACCCTTTCCCCTCTAAGGTTACAAAATAATAAAAAACCTTTTTTCCTTTTGTAAGAGTATGAAACCACGCCTAATGATCTTGGAGACACCACAAATAACAGTAATCAAATCACTTCTACGGATGTTTCCAACAAAGAGAATGAAGATAGCATCACTGTAAGTATATACATTGTTTCCTGATCCATAGTCTTGGTGGACTTTCTGTCTATACAGATCATAAAACTGTGGAGATTGTAGTAGGACCCTGAGCTACCAGAACACCAGAGCTATTACTATGTTTCAATCAAAACACAGAAGAAAAGGAAAAAAGAAACTCAAGGCTCCCCACTCTTGTCCTCCCCTCTTTTCTTGAAAGAGTGAATCACTTTTCAGTCCAATTAAAATTGCTTGTAATTTTGTTTCATGCTTTCCTGAACTAACTGTACTTTTTTAGCCTAAGACTTTGCTTCTAATTTTAGCAAAGGAGAGCAACTCTTTATTTACAACAGAAAGACAGCTAGGGTAATTTGAAGATTGTTTGAATTCCAGCCTTGGAGTTAGCTCCTTCTTACAGAGAGGATGTACTGCAATGAATTTTTAAATTCTAACTGTATGTTTTTAAAACATAATTTCATGTAGGTTTTGGGGTGAATAATTTGCAGTTAGTGTTAAGTAGCTGAATTGGTACACCTCCTTTGCTGCCTAGCCTCTCATGCTCTCCTGAACTGAATTGTTGGAAACCGGAGGTGGGTAGCCAGCCTGGTTGATATTGTAGCCTCTTTGCATCAGTCACTCCTAAAGCAGCAGTCAGTGGAGAGTATGTGCGTTTATGAACCAGAGAGGAAACTGTTGAGTTGGAACACTGCTAAAAGACTGGGAGGATCCCAAACAGTCTTGCCTTGTCTGATAAGAGAATCATTGAATGGATGAAGGTTGGAAAGGACCTTTGGAAATCTTCTGGTCCAATCCTCCCTGCTTAAAGCAGGGCCAGCATGGTTGCTCAGGGTTTTGTCTGTTCTGGTTTTGCTATCTCCAGGGATAGAGACTCCACAGCCACTCCTGGAAATCTGTACCAGTGTTCAACCACCCTCACAGTAATTTTTTTTTCATATGTGCTTTTCTTAAGTGTTTTCTTGTAACATGCCACTCTGCTGGAAGGGAAGGGTGTGATGTGCACTACCTCCCACCTGTCTTGAGTGTGTAGGATGTTGAAAAAGTTCTCAGAGGTGTCTGAATCTCTGTTCTCTGCAGGATTAGAAGAAACCTCAACAAGTGGCTGTTTTCCGTACGCTTTGATCTGAGTGCAAATGTTTCCCAGTTGAAATTAATCTTTTTACCTAATTAGGTTAATCTGAATGTCTTTGAAGGTAGTTCATGAGAACAAAACAAGCAGATCTGTTTGTATCCTCTTTTTTTAGGTGTATGTTGTGGTGGGGATTGCAGCACTGGTGTGCACTGGCTTGGTAATAATGCTCATTATTCTGAAGTTTGGAAGACACTCTAAGTTTGGGATGAAAGGTAAGCAGAGTTTTTTTATACCTACCATAATTGTTGTGGGTTGTATGGGCTGATACTATAGGCTTCTGCTCTGAGAGTGGTCAAGATAACTAGAGTAACTGCGATCACGTTTGTTTTATTTATTCATCAGGTAAGTAAGGGCAGAGGCAGATGTAGACAGAGTTTAGACTTTTCATCAAACTTTTATCTTTTTTTTCTTGTGACAAATCCCATTTTTCTCCTTTGTGTTGCAAAGTCCCCTGGGACACTTCCTGGAGGGAAATAATACTTGAGTCAGTGTAGGTAGGAAGAAGATAGGAAATGAAATTTATTCTGATACGTGTTTGATTACAACAGTTTGATGAGAACCTGTGTTGTAAGAGGTACTTCATACCATACCACAATGTCACGTTCAGGTGATCGATTCAAGGGGAACTATCGGCAAGTGCAGAAGGTGCATTTGAAGTGGATTGTGTCATATTGGTGCTTTCTGACAGATACGTTTTATTGTGCTTCTGCTTGTTTCTTGGGAGGCAGCAGCTGGAGAGAGAGTGGCAAATGCTCATGTCTCTGTGGAAGGGGCAAGTCTCAACCCTTCCATTTAATAATTTATTTATTTTACAGCCAGATGGAGGTATGTGTAACACAGAGGTACCAGCAACTTAATTACCATATTATTTCACTGATATCACTAGTCTGTGTCTGGCCATGTGAAGTTGTATTAAAAGAAAACATTTGCTGCCTTCTTGAGAGGACTAAAAGGTGTTTTGCTGTGTGCTAAAGGAGATGAGCTTTTGACCTTAGGATGTGTAGATGAGGTCTGTGGAGAGAGTGGTAAGTAATCTTTCACTAGGCTCCTGTTAATCACATGTCCTTCCTCTCAGCTGTGCTTGTGACATTGTACCACATGGAGGTATATTTTGGTAACCCTTACTTGCTATTGACAAATGCTCTTTTCAGAGACTGCAATTTCATCTACTGTTTATTTTTTGTTTCTGTATTCTGTTTAGAGGAGAGTTCCTGGAACAAATGAGGTTTGAGCAGGGCAGAAATGTAGTCAGTGCAGATTAGCTTGCTGGGATGGTAATACTTTCTTTCACCTCCTTTTGATGTGACATAGTCTCTGCTCTTTGGGGTAGTAGTAAAAGAGGACATTCATTGCTGAATAGCAACATGGAGCCAGCAGGACAGATCTGCAAAGTTTTGGCCAAAGACTAGAAAAGACTTTTTGTGATGGAACATCAGCTCAGCATACATTTTATTTGTGTCTGAAGCTTTCTAAATTGCATTTAGAGAGCTGAGGTAGGTGGAAGCTAAATGAGAGCAATGATGAGAAATATCTGATGTTAACGCCTTAAAGCTGAATGCTTGTTAGGTTTTTTCAAAATTTGCATTGAATATTTCAACACGACATTATTGGAGGAACTAGGAAGTAGACTCTACCCTGAGGAAGAATGCACAAAGTTGCATTTTGAGTGGTAACAAGTTAAGTTACCTTTCAGGAAGCTCTTTACATGGTGGTGGTTTTTTAGTATCTACAGGTGCAACTTTTCTCACAAAAATAATTCTGTTGCCTGATCAGTAAGTTTGATCTCAGTATTTTTTTGTTGCAGAATTGTCTGTGTTGATCATATTTTAGTAAGGATCCACTTTTGGGGAAATTATTGGATGAAATTCTGAAAAGCCACAACCTCATATATGGTGTTTATTTTATTATTTAAATTTGACCAGTGATGGTTAGATCAGTAAAATGGATTCAGAGTTCAGATACACTTCTTCAGAAACTAATCACAGGCATGGTATGTGTGATAATGGTTAAATGTCACTACAAATAACTCTTGAATGTTCTCTCCATTTATCATCATCAGTATTATTGCATTTATATTAAAGCAGTATTTAAAGACCTGAGGTTAGAACACCAATTCAATATGTAATGCCTAGACTAATAATAAAATACTACCTGCTCTGAAAAGCCTGCAGCATAAGTATATATTGAGAATTCATAAATTAACATAAACAACCTGGGGTATTTGAGCCTGAGGAAAATAAGGCAAAGGTGAAGAGAAATCTTTTGCAATCAGTACTGATAAGTACAATACATTTAAAATGTGTATTTTGAAAATTCTGAATAAAAGGATCCAGCCAGCTACCTGTGAACAACTTAAAGTCTTTTGCTATTGAATTAAGTGACAGAAAAATTAGTCCCAACTTAGCATACAGACATCATGTCATATTGATTTAATAAACAGTATTAAGGAAGTGGTAAGGAGAAAATTATTCAGATTGCTATTGACAACACTTACAAAACAAGATTAAAAAATATTCATTTCAAATCTTCCCCAAATGTTAATGAATATGTTGCCTTCATAAGAAGGCACTTCCTGAGTTATATCAGGCAGAAACATACAAAAGGCTGTGCTTCATTTTTCTGTTACCTTGTGAGAACACAACACACCACAGGTACCCTGTCATTAAATGTCTCCCTACCCTTCTTCAGTTTGCAAAAAAAAAGGTCACTCAGTGACTGGAGCAGTCACACTGGCACTCAATGGTAATTTTAATGTAACCATGTACATTGAAAAAGCATTCCACTGAAATTCAGAAAAAGAAATGTGTAAATAGGCAATCAGCACTGTGTATCCCATAGGAAACGTCTTTATGTAAGAGATGAAGTTTTCACACCATTTGGGTTCGTAGCAGGCGTCTTGAAGTCTTCTTGAAGACACTGTGTTATGCCTTATAATTATAAATGCTGGTTTATTACATCTTTTGCATGGGCATCATCTGCCCACTTCTTAGACTTTGTCCTCTATGACTCTTTGCGCTTAAAGAGCTTGAGTTTAGCTGACTCTAAGCAAGTGGTTTGAAGTACTGATACGGGAACTCATGCTTTATCATGTCTTGCTTAAGCAGTTGGGTTGCTTATAGTCTAGGAGGAGAATGAAATGCAGTTAGACTAGAAGAGCTTTTACTCCTTTTAATTCTAAACCAGGTACAAAATAAAAGTTTTGCATCTTCAGCAAAGACCCGCAGTTTGACATATAGATCTGATGTTCAAAGTGATCTGCAACACGCTTGCAGGGAGTGTTTCCTGGACAATTTTGCCATGTTTGACAGATAATTAAGAAGATCAGATTGTAGCTTGGGAACACAGTTACTGCTTGACCTTCAACAAATCACTGAAATCCTGAACTTCTTGAGTTTCCATTTGTACCTATGGAAGTGATTTTGTGCTGTGTTGTGCCTACCCAAATACCAGTTCTGGGTTGTCGATCCTTTAATGTCTTTATAACATCTCATTATTTAGTCAATGAGCAGAATATGAAAGAGGGATTAATTCATGTGAGTCAGTGTTGTAAGATAAGGTGTAGAAAAAAATGAATGTGCTCAAATCTGCAGTATTTTTAGTGAGTAAACATGTAAAGGCAAAGATGATATTGCTCATCTGAACCACACACAAGAAGCTATTTTTATTGTTTGACATTGGGATTCCAGTCCCTGCAGTCATGAGCAGATCATACAAGTTGTCTCAGGTGCATTACTTCTATAATGGGGGCAGTAATATCTACTTATCACATGAACATTTGGAGGATGAAGTTATTAATGATTCTAAGTATTTTACACCGAAGAAACAAATTACTATAAGTACTTCAAGGAGTGAGCGCTCTTATGAACTGATCCTAGAAAGTAATTTTGTGTAAAGAATTTTACAAAGATCTTAAAATATTTAAGCTGCCATTCTCTTGTGTTCCAATAAAGAGGTGTCTCTTAAAGCATTGTTTTGGGTCTATGTCACTCTATCAGAACATACTATTAGGCATTTATAGCGTTCCATTGTTATTTATATAAAATCTGGTCTCTAGGTCTCAGCTTTCTGTTTCTGTTTGCTACTAGTTTTCCTAAGTGTGATCCTAAAGTACAAGATGTAAGAGAGGAATGTAGCTCTGGTTCTGTAGTAGGAACAAGCCAGCAGATGACATGCGCTATATATAAAAAAGGATTTAGGGAGACATATCAAATCTGAAGCTGGGGAATTTTTAATGATGAGATGGTGCATTTGACTATGGTCTCTGTTGGTTGCAAAATTCAAACTCAGTTGTAATGTTTGAGGCAGAAAAGAAGTTACTAACTTGTTTAGAGCTTTTCATGACTCACAGTACTATACTGATAGGTATTAACACAGGAAAGTTATCTGAGGGCTCATGTCTGTTACTATTGAAAATACGTGGAAAGCGAATGTGAACAAGTACCTGTTAAATTTCACTCCACCTCCCCCAGAAAGAAGTATACAAGCAGGTGATGGAATGAAGGAGTACACCTGTATGTGGTGTGCGTGAAGTGAGATGAACTGGAGAATTAAGGAGATACTGAGTAGAGTACAGCTTAGAGATGTAAAGAGACTGAAGAGAAATGAGACTAATGGATGCAGTGGCCAGCTAGGATTGAGTATCTCCAAGGATGGAGACTTCACAACCTCTCTGGGCAATGCATGCCAGTGTTCAGTCACCCTTACAATACAGTTTACCTTACATTTAAATTAAATTTCCTTTATTTCAGTTTGTGCCCATTGCTGCTTGTCCTGTCACTGGACAAGTTAACTCACAATGCAGAGGAACAATATGGATACATAAAGGTGGCATGTGGATGTAGACAAAGATGCTGTCTGAGTTGTTTTGTGTTGCCTTTGAATACTGCTTAATTGTGAAAACAAGGAAGTACTGAAAGGTTACAGTAGACCATATGCAATAGACCACATACAGTACAGCAACATCTTTTTCAGTGAAATTATTTGGCTCAGGTATGTGAGTCTCAGTTGAGTAACACCACTGGGGATTACAAGTATGTGTTGCTTAGTACTTTGCGCCACTCCTTTTACAATACATGTTCTATTTTATTTGAGTTTCCCTCCATTTGTATTCCTCAGCTTTCAAAGACTGATGCACGATTTCTCCCCTGTTTGAGTTGCATTGATTTTTGTTAATGGATCTGAATTTTGAACTTTTTTATCCTTTTTTCCTTTT